CACTAACTGACTTGTTGCACAAGAGTAAGATGTGGACGTGGACGACGGATTGCCAACCAGCGTTTAATACACTAAAGGATGCAGTGACGAAAGAGCCGGTCTTAGCATTGCCCGATTTTACTAAGTTATTTGAGATATATGTCTAAACATTCGACATAGCCGTTGGAGGTATTTTAATACAAGATGATCATCCGATTGATTATGAGAGTTATAAATTAAGTGACATTGAAAAATGGAGACCGACGCGCGAGAAGAAAATTTTAGCAGTCGTATGTTACTTGTAAGTTTCTGAGCACTGCCTCAAGGCCGCCATATCGTTTAAGATCAAGACAGATAATTGTGCAGTGAGCTACCATCAAATGCAGAAGCAGCTATCAAGCAAGCAAGCAAGGTGGCTAGACTATTTAGTAGAGTTTTAGTAAGAATTTGAGTAGAACTTGGGCAAGACAAACTTCATGACTGATATCCTAAGTCACCAGAGCGTCATTGTGCTCATACACATAACTGAAGTTCTACTCCTGGAGCGCATCAAAGAGAGGTTGTAGCACGAAGATCGGGTACAGACGCTCATGGAGTTAGCCGATGACAGAGAAATGAAGAAATATTGACTTGAGGACAGAGTTCTCTATGTGAAGAACGAGTAGATTTACATGCCCGACTGAGGGCACTTCAGGAAGGACATTCTTAAGTAGTATTACAATAGTCGTTATGCTAGCAATCCCAACACGGGTCGCATGCTGTCTGTCGTGCTAGTATGACAAGGTAGAAAATAAACTGCCCGCTGGATTGCTGCAACCGTTGCAAAAATCGAGATGCGTTTGGGAAAGCATGTGCCAAAAATAATTACCAAAGCGATTGGAAGTTTGTTCAAAATCAATTTGAATAAGCCCTTCCCAACTTCGATGTCACCACCAACCTCAATGTTATCGCCAACCTCACCACTAACAAGTTTAGTGTTAACACTAACCTTACAACCAACAATCTCAGTGTTACTGCTAATCATTACCTATAACCCTAAAACTTTATTGTCAATCATGACAAAGCAAACAAAACTAATTAGTTTGAATTTAACAAATTTTCTAAACTACAATAATCTTATATACTAACCAAAAGAACATTTAGTCCAAACAGGATAACTAGCACCATTGAATGAGTGAAAAGTCTCATCATTAAGTTTAACATGTCTGATCTTTGTTAAGATATAATCATGTTCAAATTTAATTCATTTCGAATCCCTTCTCGCCCCCTTGTTGTCAGGACCCATGCAGTCAAAAATGAAAACAAAAATGAAATTAAACTACTGATTTCCAAAATAGATAGTGCACAAAATATTATAAAAAGTTATATTTTAAATAATCAACTACAATTTGACTTTAAAATGCAATGCATGCCAATAATTGATTGACAAGAAGATCTCAGAAATTCTACAAACAAAATATCAACAATATAAAGTAGATAAAATTCGATTGCAAATCATTTGATACTCAATACAGTAGAGCACAAAAAAAGGGACCAAGATTGATACCGTAGTCCATTCTCTTAGGAAAAAGACGATTACATGAAAGACACCTGTATATGGACCCCCAGAAAATAAAGGTGATTACGAAATGGATGGCACCGACATCGTCCACTGAACTGCGATCGTTTCTTGAGTTAGTTAATTATTATCGATGGTTCATTGCTGGTCTTCGGCCATCGCTGCTCCGTTAACTGACTTGCTGCACAAGGTCAAGATGTGGACATGGACAACGGATTGCCAAGTAGCACTTGAGATTCTAAAGGATGCATCGACGAAAGAGTCGGTCTTGGCATTTGCTCGATTTTACTAAGCTACTAGAGGTGTATGTCAAAATATTCGACATTGCCATTGGAGGTATTTTAATGCAACATGGCCATCCGATTGCTTATGAAAGTCATAAGCTAAGTGACGTTGAAAAATGGTGGCCGACGCACGAGAAGGAAATGTTAGTAGTCGTGTATTGCTTGCAAATTGTGAGCGCTACGTCAAGGCCGCCATATGGTTTAAGATCAAGACAGGTAATAGTGCGGTGATCAACCATCAAATGCAGAAACAACTATCAAACAAGCAAGCGATGTGGCTGGACTATTTAATAGAATTCAAGTATGAAATTGAGTAGAACTCGGACAAGACAAGTCCCAGGGCCGACATCCTAAGCCGCAAGGGCGTCAATGCGCCCATGTACGCAATTGAAGTTCTACTTTTGGAGCACATCAAGAAATATTGCAGCACGATGATCAGGTACAAGAGTTCATGGAGTTACCGGATGAGGAAAAAAATGAAAAGATATTGTCTTGAGGACATAGTCCTCTGCGCCAAGAACCAGTAGATTCACGTGCCCGATTGGGGACATCTTAGGAAGGACATTCTTAAGGAGTGTTACAATAGTCGGTATGCTGGCAATCCCAGCACGTGTCGCATGCTGTCTCTCGTGCGAGAATGCTATTACTAGGCGAACCATAGGGACGACATCAATGATTAAATGCAGACTTGTCTTGTATGCTAGTATGACAAGGTAGAAAACAAGTTGCCCGCTGGATTGCTGCAACCGTTGCAAATATCGGGATGCGTTTGGAAAAGCATGTGCCAAAAATAATTACCAAAGCGATTGAAAGCTTTTTCAAAATCAATTTGAGTAAGCCCTTCCCAATTTCGATGTCACCACCAACCTCAATGTTACCGGCAACCTTACCACTAACAAGTTAAGTGTTAACACTAACCTTGCAACCAACAAACTCAGTGTTACTGCCAATCATTACCTATCACCTTAAAACTTTATTCCCAATCTTGACAAAGCAAACAATACTAATTAGTTTGAATTTAACAATTTTTCTAAACTACAATTATCTTAGATGCCAACCAAAAGAATATTTAGTCCAAACAGGATAACTAGCACCGTTGAATGAGTGTAAAGTTTCATCATTAAGTTTAGCATGTCTGATCTTTGTTAAGATATAATCATGTTCAAACTTCATCCACTTCGAATCCCTTCGCATCCCCTTGTTGCCAGGACCTATACAGTCAAAAAATGAAAACAAAAACGAAATTAAACTATTGATTTTCAAAATATATAGTGTACAAAATATTATAAAAAGTTATATTTTGACTAATTAGCCACAATTTGGCTCTAAAATGAAACACATTCTAATAGTTAATTGACAAGAAGATCTCAGAAATCTTACAAATAAAATATCAACAATATAATGCAAATAAAATTCGATTGCAAATCATTTGACTCTCAATATAGCAAAGCAGAAAAACAATGGAATAAGATTGATACCGTAGTCCATCTTCTTAGGGAAGAGACGATTAGATGAAAGACACCTACATATGAATCCTCAGAAAATAAAAGCGATTGTGTAATTGACGGCGCCGACATCGTCCACGGAACTGCGGTCGTTTCTTGGGTTAGTTAATTGTTATCGATGGTTCATTGCAAGCATTTAGTCATTGTTGCTCCGCTAACTGACTTGTTGTACAAGAGTAAGATGTGGACGTGGACGACGGATTGCCAACCAGCGTTTAAGACACTAAAGGATGCAGTGACGAAAGAGCCGTTCTTGGCATTGTCCGATTTTACTAAATTATTTGAGGTGGATGTCGAAACATTCAACATAGCCGTTGGAGGTATTTTAATGCAAGATGATCATCCGATTGCTTATAGGAGTTATAAATTAAGTGGTGTTGAAAAGTGGTAACCGACGCACGAAAAGAAAATTTTAGCAGTCGTATATTACTTGCAAGTTTCTGAGCACTGCCTCAAGGCCGCCATATCATTTAAGATCAAGACAGATAATTGTGCTATGAGCTACCATCAAATGCAGAAGCAGCTATCAAGCAAGCAAGCAAGGTGGCTGGACTATTTAGTAGAATTTAAGTAAGAATTTGAGTAGAACTCAGGCATGACAAAGTTCACGACTGATATCCTAAGTTACAAGAGCGTCATTGCGCCCATATACTAAACTGAAGTTCTACTCTTGGAGCGCATCAAGGAGAGGTTGCAGGACGAAAATCGGGTACAAGTGCTCATGGAGTTAGCCGATGACGGAAAAATGAAGAAATATTGACTTGAGAACAGAATTCTCTATGTGAAGAAACACTAGATTTACGTGCCCGACTGGGGGCACTTGAGGAAGGACATTTTTAAGATGTGTTACAATAGTCGGTATGCTGGCAATCCCAACACGTGTCGCATGCTGTTTCTAGTGCGAGGATGCTATTATTGGGCGAACCTTAGGGATGACATTAAATGCAGACTTGTCTTGTGTGCTAGTATGACAAGGTAGAAAACAAACTGCCCGCTGGATTGCTGCAACCGTTGCAAAAATCGAGATGCGTTTGGGAAAGCATGTGCCAAAAATAATTACCAAAGCGATTGGAAGTTTGTTCAAAATCAATTTGAATAAGCCCTTCCCAACTTCGATGTCACCACCAACCTCAATGTTATCGCCAACCTCACCACTAACAAGTTTAGTGTTAACACTAACCTTACAACCAACAATCTCAGTGTTATTGCTAATCATTACCTATAACCCTAAAACTTTATTGTCAATCTTGACAAAGCAAACAAAACTAATTAGTTTGAATTTAACAAATTTTCTAAACTACAATAATCTTGGATACTAACCAAATGACCATTTAATCCAAACAGGATAACTAGCACCATTGAATGAGTGAAAAACCTCATCATTAAGTTTAGCATGTCTGATCTTTGTTAAAATATAATCATATTCAAACTTCATCTACTTCGAATCCCTTCTCATCCTCTTGTTGCCAGGACCCATACAGTTAAAAATAAAAACAAAAATGAAATTAAACTATTAATTTTCAAAATAGATAGTGCATAAAATATTATAAAAAGTTATATTTTAACTAATCAACTACAATTTGGCTTTAAAATGCAATGCATGCCAATAATTGATTGACAAGAAGATCTCAGAAATTCTTTAGGAAAGGTATTCTCCAACCCACGCAATTCCACTTAGAGGTGCTGCAAAGAATTTCTGTCGGCCATTCGTTGATGTTCCTCTCTAAATTGTTTATTCAATTCAGATTGGGTCCCTTCATACTCATTTCCATGGACCTTCTCCAACTGGTTTTCCATTTCCCCTTGTTCCCCATCCAATGCATCTTCCCTTGTGTGATCAGAATCTGAATACCCGTGCACAGCAGAAGGCGACGGACTGGTATCATCTCCTATTGCAGCATCCTGATCTCCAATAATAGCGGCAGATTTGTCGTCTTGGTGAACTGGTACGACGTCTTTCTCAGCTTGCTTGGCAGTCCTGACTCCCTCCTCTATTACTCCTTTAAGCTTACCTTCGTTATCAACCGTATCAGTGCATCGCCCTACGTTAGGACTATCATTTGAAGTAACCATATCAGAAGCAGTCAACACCTCTGTTGTCTTTTTGGAGTTAGCATCTGGATTTTGCACCTTGTCTAAATTAGACACCTGAACATTGTTTACTTCTTTCTGCGGATCATGCTTGACTCTCGTTGTTTGCTTATATTGATACCAAGGTCCATTTTCAGTTGCATTCTTCTTGCATTGCTCATGTGAGTGCCCCAAGCGTGAGCAATATGAGCAATATGGTGGCATGTTTTCTGGCACAATACGTTGCCAAAATCCAGACTCCCCTTCAACAGCCACCCATACTCTTGGTATAATTACCTTCGCTACATCTAGCTCCACGCATACCCTTGCCAAACTAGGACGAGTTCCAGCAGCCGTTGGCGAATCTAGAAACAATGGTCTTCTTACTGGAGAAAGTATGGAAAACAATGAATGTTTGTCAAAATAATGAATAGGCAGAGCCGGAAGATCTACCCAGACCGGAACCAGAGATGATTCTCTGAGAACATGAAACTCCCTTGTCCATCGAAACACCCACATCGGATATTTGCCCAACTGCCAAATCCCTCTTATCCAGATCCTGTTAAAGTCAGCTTCAGTCGTGCACTTAATGAGAACATGCCTGTAGTCCATCAATCCAATAGAAACGTGATCTTTCAGGTTTAACAAAGCAAAAAACTTTCAAATATCTTCCAAGGACAGTCTCCCGTGAGAAAATTTTCCCACTAAAGCCCATTGAAATGGCGCTGCAAGTTTGTCCGCATCTGTTTTAGAATAAACCACCGCTGCTTCACCCTTGTACACAGACGCTTGCCTAATGTGGATAGGAGATGTTTCTGGTTGTGAGAAAAGTTGTGAGAACGACTTTTTTCCTGTAGGTGAATCTTGCCCCTCAGCCGAAGGCTGAAGGGCAGCCATGAACTCGGTGAAGATCTACTGGCGATGATGGTGGACTGAAACGATGGCCGTCCTACCTCTGAATGTAGCTAGCTTAGAAAGTAAAACATCAAGAGAAGTAATAAAAGAGTTTGTTTGAATTATCGAGAAAATAAGCTTGGAACTACTACGAGTTGTCATGTATTTTGTTTAGTCTCATATTGTTCATTTATCTTGGTTTTGCATTTGCACGCATATCAGTTCTTGGTTTTACCCTCACAAAAAATAGTTCTTGGTTTTCATATTTTTAAGGGGTTCTTCCAATCTTTGTTTGTATTAGGCCCAGGAAAAGGGTGGTCAAAATATCTTTGTTAACAAGCATGCACCTTTGTACTTTTTGGGTATCAAGAATCCGTGTTGATATTTTTTTTCACAGAGTTGGTTTATGTAAAGTTCAAACCACCTACCCAAAGATGACGGTCTTTCTGATTTTACCGGATCCTTATTTGTTGTATTTGAGCAATGGTTTGCTTAATTGCTTGACACCATATTTTAGAGCATCATCTACTTGGTAATTGGAGTTGAAACACATGATTATAAACTCCTTCAAATGTAAAATTTTCTGTATGCATGCAATATTCAAAATTTCCATAAGTTTATGGCTACATGCAGGATAATCTAATTAACTTCTGCAATTTGAATTCAGGTATGCACTTTTGTCTGATAAGAGTCCTAATTTCTGGGGCTGCAAAAAATTGTCGAAGTGCTATGTTTTGAGGCTGCAAAGATTTATGGAGCTATTTCAATACTTTGCGTCACTAAAATTTATTTAGTATTGTAGCCTTGAACTTTTAACAGTAGATTCTCGAAGTAACTGATCTTATTAATTTGTAATTTCCATTTTACATAGTTGGACAACATTGTACGCCCCCGACACTCTCATGCAATCATAAAAACTAGTAGTTCAAAAATTGGGAGACAAATAATCCCAGTGATACAATAAATTCTTGTATTACTTGGACTGCAATGTTGGCACGAAAAAATATGTGTGGACAGTGGAAACAATTTTGGCATAAATAAAAAATGAAGAGAAGAATAAATACTCAATAATTTAACTAATTCAAATCTCAATAAAACCCAACCAGTAACAATACCAAGTAAGGGTGGCAATCTTGTGAAATAATTCCCTAATCTACCGCCCCCGCCCCCGCCCCGTTTCCCCCGCGGTCCCTTGCGGGAGAAGAAATCAATTTATCATAAATATTCACTTACAATAACACAATTGTAAACAATGTTAAATAAGATTAAAAATTTATCAAGATGGAAACAAAACACAACAAGTCAAGTTACATCCCCGTATTCAACAAACTCAGTCAAGTTGATTTCTCATATTCAACAAACTAAAAACACTCAACAATAAGTCCAGCTTTTCTCTTCATCAACCTAGTTCAACAACTTCAAAACATTTGCTCTTCATCAATCTCGAGATGTGATAACTCACTTGATAAAGCAACTTTGATATTTGATGCTAAAATAAAAGAAGAAACTTATCACCAGGCTATAGTGTATAACAAACAATTTAGATGAATCAAATTTCTTTAATACCTATTTAATAACACAATCAACATCATCTTGTTAGAGATAAACACCTCGAGAGAATCCACCAAAGAATCCAATATGTAAGTCAGGAGTTCAACTCTGACCCAAAAGATTAAACTACTAGCTCTTGAACTCTTACCTACATATTAGCCGCTCTTTCTCCATCTCTCGAATCAGTGTAGGACACAACCTTTTTCTCATTAATCTAACAAATCTCCCCTTTCATGAGTAACTCCCATATTAATCCCAAATTTATAAGCCCTTTTTCAAATCCATTTTAATATTCAATACAAGCTCACCTTTATCACCAAGGTCACCTCTTCTCCCAAACATGGACCCACTCTTTTTCAACATCCAAATCACATTCTGGACCCCTGCCAACCCTTGATTTTTTTAGTCTAACATCAATCGAACCCTCTACCAAATCCATGGCACACCTGGTCCAATACCAACCAAACTCCTTGGCACTTCGGTCCACTATCAAGAAGAGAATTTTCACCGATCCAACTCCGTTGCCCATGAGTAGCCCAGTCTTATAACTTGAAATTCTGATTCCAATTTGTTAGAGAGAAATACCTCGAGAGAATCCACCAAAGAATACAATATGTAAGTCATGAATTCAATTCTGACCCAAAAACCAATTTGTTAGGAAATTGATTTAATTTCTTTTAGGTAGAATTCTTATTTTGTGTGGAAGTAACTAGTTTCATAATTGATTTTAGTTACTTGAAGTAGTAACCAAGGAATATTCTATTTAGTTTAGGATTAGAAGTTATTTCCTATTCTATGCAAGTTTAGGAATTAGAATTGGTATCTTATTGTTATTTGGATTTTGGTCAAATAATATTCTCTATAAATAGGCGGGTTGGCATACTACAAAGAGACATACAAAGGCACACAAGGGCAACAGGTAGCCTTATACATAGGATGGTAAGAGAGGGTTCTTAGGAGATAAGAGATGCTATATAAGGGTTGGGTTTGGGTTCAAGTTGTATTCTTGTATAGAGTTTTCTTCTTATAATAAAGAATAGGTTTCTCTCCATAGATGTAGGCTCAATGGTAGAGCCGAATAACGTTAAATATTGTGTGTCATTTGACTTTCATGCTTATAGATTGTTTCTCATTAAATTTTGTGTACTTGATATCTCAATAGTTATGTGTTCTATGCTTGGATCCTGAAAAATGGTATCAAATTTTAGTTGTGAGACTGGGCTGCTCACGGACAATAGATCAAGGTTCGTGGTTGGATCTTGATTGACTATTTGAAATCAAGTGGATTGGTAGTTGTTACCAATTAAACAATTTAATTAGTAGCATACTTGCTTCAATGGTTTGGCAAAAAGCATTGATGGTGAGAGATGGGAAGTCGAAAAGCATGAAAATACTTGACGGTGAATCTAGGCAGGTGATTCAAGGGTCAAGGAAAATGTGGAGTCCAATGTTGATTTTGGACGTGAATCGGTGGAGATTTTCTCACACCTTCAACGGTTAATACTTCATCCCGATGGATTTTAAGTTTTGGTTATGTTCTTTGGGTGGTGTAGCACGTGCTCTAAAGAAACAAAGAAATTTAATTTCCAAGCGCCAGAAGATTCTGACAGTTACGAGTTTTTCGTTTTAGGTGGAGCCTTGTAAACCACACGTGGCGAGACAATTCTGAGGATGGGAAGAAGTATGGTGATTTTATCACTTGGTTGTCTCAATGGTTAGGGTTAGAGTTCACAGAAGAGGATCCCGAATTGCAAGTGGTGGTGAGAAGAAATCCTACAAAGAGAAATAATGAATTGAGACACCTTCTCACAAGTCAACTGGATGTTGGACTCGGGGTAACTACACGTGTTCATTTACCGATTGAATTAATTTGGTGTCAGAACTGTATTGATTTGGGTATGTAGTTGGGTATCATATTATTTGGTAGTTGAAACCAAATAGTTGTTAAAAGAAATTTTCACCAAGGTAGAGATTTATTAGGAAATTGGCTTAATTTCTTTTAGATAGAATTCTTGTTTTGTGTGGAAGTAACTTGTTTCCTAATTGATTTTAGTTACTTGAAATAGTAGCCAAGGAATATCCTATTTAGTTTAGGATTAGAAGTTATTTCCTATTCTATGCAAGTCTAGGAATTAGAATTGGTTTCCTATTGTTATTGGGTTTTGGCCAAATAATATTCTCTATAAATAGGTGGGTTGGCATACTGTAAAGAGACATACAAGGACAACATGTAGCCTTATACATGGGATGGTGAAAGAGGGTTCTTGGGTGATGAGAGATGGTATACAAGGGTTGGGTTTGGGTTCAAGTTATATTCTTGTATAGGATTTTCTTCTCATAATAAAGAATGGGTTTCTCTCCGTGGACGTAGACTCAATGGTGGAACCGAATCACGTTAAATATTATGTGTCGTTTAATTTTCATGCTTGTAGATTGTTCCTCATTAAATTATTGTATACTTGATATCTCAATAGCTGTGTGATCTGCGCTTGGATCCTGACAATCTTCTTCATCAAACAATATATTACATGATATCCCATCTAAAGTAGAGCAAGTAGGTGCACCAAAATTTAAAAAAAATAGCTATAGATTTACTAAATAAATAAATGCAAAAAAATTGTATAAATTTAAAAGTAGAAATTAAATTTTTTACATTCCATTTATTTCATTCCATAGCCAAGTGTGAGTACACATTAATGCTTCCAAGGTATTAGGGTGAAATTTACATCAATGAAGGCTAATTATTCTTCCACAAGTACTAAATGCAGATTCAAATGCCACACTTGAGATGGATACAACTAGAATATCCTTAGCCATTTTTTGTAAAATGGGATATTTAACTCCATGTGTTTTCCACCAACCAAGTATGTCAAAAGTCGAAACTCTTGAAAACACAATTTTCTCAAGATAAAACTTCAATTCCAACTTAGAAGTAATATCACTAGAATTAGAAGCCACAAACTTATCAAAATCAACAAAGGGACCCGTTTCAATTTCATTTTGATAATGACTCCCACTAACATGCTCATGTGTGAAATCATGCACTGACTATCAACACTATTTCCACCCAAACTAGATTGATATTGATAATTATGCAACAAAGAATAACAATTTTGATAAATTGTTTCAATTTTCATGAATGATTCATCACAATAAATGATAGGAAA